ACTCACACAAACACACAAACTACACAAACAGGAACAGCGCACGAACAAAATCAAGGAAAAATGTCATGTTCTTCCTCCACTACACTTCGCTATCGTAACCCTGACGCCACAATCAGTAGCCTCCAATCCCTCCTGCCGATTAATCCAACGTATCAACAGTTTCCGATTGTAATCCTCGCATTTCCTCCAGCATTCCCACACCCAGTTCGCCTATTAGTTGTGCTTAGATGCTGTTTTGGGGGTTGGTTGCATTTTGTTTCCTTTATTTAATTTACGTTTACTGTTCTAGGACAAGGACACAAGAATTGCCTCAACTTAATTTTTTCTGATAAATAAATGGATATTACACACACACACACACACACACACATATATATATATTTATATATCACTGCCTCTTTCCGTTTTATTATAATTATTTCCACTTCTATTCCATCTTTCAAATCCCCCACCCCCAAATCTCTGTGCTCTTCACCCCTTTCTTCTTTTTCTCTTTACCCCACCCATTCTTCACTTCCTCTCCATTCAGTTTCAGTCCTGTTTTCTGTCTTAACGAGTTCACCGCATTCTTCTTCCCTTCCTTCTTATCTTCATTCCCTTTATATGCCTTTTCATTCTCTTTCACCCCTTCCCCCTCCCCCGCAATCTCCCCAAACTTCGAGTCCACGAATGCCACCCACTCTAGCGCACGGTATTCGCCATGCAATGAACATCAAGATTAGTGGCACTAGAGGTAATGGCAGCCACAGACATCAATCAGCAGTCCTCAGATAGATAGTTTCGGGACCACGCGGGTCACCAAATGAAGCCAGCTCGGGAGAGGATTTCAAAGTAGATAGTAGTATTGCCCTCAACGTTACATGGATAGACGGAGAGAGAGAGGCCCTTTTCTTCTCAATGGATGGTGGTGGTAGATACGAGCCAGCGTTCCTGTTGGTGTTTGCACGAAGCGGCACCACGGAGGACACACGCAACTAAAGCAAAGACTGAATTCACCATAAATTTGACTTGAATTATAGTATCCTAGATGGTACACATACATAATGTGGTCTTTGCCGTCAAAGCTGCCGCACTTCGCTTCCTGTAAAGCTTCGCTGAGAAGCGTGCGCACCCCACGGCCGCCCACGTGAAGGGAAAAACACTCACACTACTCATGTTATTTGGGGGGGGGGGGGGGTAACCGGGGCGGAGGTTCTTTTGGGGGGTTTTTTGTTAGTTTGTTTTTGGGGGTGTTTTTTCGGGCGTGAGGTGTGAATGTTTTGAACAATCTTTGCTCCTTGTCTTTGTAAGAGATGCATCAGTCCCTTAAATAATTAGTAGGCTCTTCCACACGCAACAACATAGTTTGAAATGCCGTCGCCGGCCTCATTTGGGGACGTTCTTTTCAGTATCTCCGAATAACCCAACAAAGATTAGTTCCTTGTAACCTATAGGCGGAGAACGATGTTCTAGATTACAATCTCCGGTACATGTATAGCAGTGGAGGAAGGAGCCCCGCTCACTCACACTGCTAGAGTATGTGCACGCATTTATTGGTGTGGGTATGTACAGATTCCAAGCAGCGCCATACTCCTAGGATGAGCAGACAGTGAAAGTGGTTTTAAGTGGGATACGAGGAGATGGGCTGTACTATAACTATAAGGCAAGCTGGCACGATAATGGCCACATTTTTTTTGCTGAACCCGGGAGACATCATGACTAATTGTAATTATGTAAGGTAGAGAAATAGAAAAGTGAAGAAACAAAACCATACCATACAGAAGTCACCAACCATCCGATGAAAGAGACAAGTGGGGTAGTTGGATAGATAGGAATGGCAGAACAGGCAGAAAAACAGACACAGGCCAACTCGCATTGGCACACAGGGACACAAACGTAGATACACGTATTATGTATGTACAGACACACATTATACTTAAAGACATACAGACACACAAATCCGCATCATGAACGAACACATACAAACTTGACTGTCACAATGTCCCCTAAATGTCGTTGCTTTATTTTATGTATAGATATATCATATATTGTTTAAGACAAGCATTATCATTATTTAAAAAATAAAAAGAACAAAAAACTTCTTTTGAAACCTGCATCAGCTGACCATGCCTGAATTATACTGAGTTGAATCCTCTATTTTTCAAAATTGCATTTACAGTGACAGTGCAAGAATCAATAAAGCAACTTTGAATGTGAATAAAAATAAAAATATAACTGTTCTATATATATAAAGATCTAAACCAAAGTGCAAATGCAGCAAACCTAAAACTCTTAGAGGGGTAACATTCTCCCATTTCAAAAACAGATGTAATAAAAAATGTTTTAAAGTATACTATTCTCTCCACATGAAATGATCCCTCAATCAACAAAGTACAAAGTAATCCAATTCACAAAAATTATATGTAGTTGCCAGTAACTGTATAGGCCTACAAAGCATTATACCAGAATGTTTTTTTAATTAGTGTCTTTATTTTTTCCCCTCATTTTGGAAGATAATTCTCAAATTTCACATTGCATCTGAACTTCTCAGTGCATACTGCTAATCGGATTCAACCCAGTTGAGTCAGGCCTTACCAGACTTTTCTCCATGGAAGACAAAAAGCTACCATTTTTGTACAATAGAACCGATTTAACTAGCGACCTTGAAAAATAAAGGGGTTTGATTTGAAAGTCATAACCGCATTTTGTTGAGTTCTTTCGTATAGTGCAAAAATGTTAGCTTTTGCCCCTCCATAGAAAAAAACCTGGCTGGCCCCAACTCAATCATATGAATTTGATTTGCAATGCACTTTGTGTTGCAATAAGTTTGAGTGGAATGCACCAGTGTATACACAAATAAAATAAAGGAATTAATAATCATCAACAAACAGGGAAACAATTTTTTAAAAGTTCCTTTCATAATATAACCTGCAATGATTCCTCTAAAAAAAAAAGACAAGAAGATGTCATCACTGTGCTATCTTTTAAGCTATTTTCAGCTCTGTTGGCTTCTTATCAGCCCACCTCACTTCAAGCTTTACAAAAGGTGTTTGGAGGGGAAGGTGAATGAAG